AAAAAAAAAAAAAAAAAAACTTAAATTCCCACCAAACAACAGCTCATACTTAAAACCAAAAAAACAGACCAAATAACTCCAACTAACAGAGCAAATTATAGATTCAAAAGTCTAACATGAGAGTGATAATTTAACTTAAAGTGAACAACCAACAAGAGATAGTTTGTTTACCTCAGACTTTGAGAGACTAGTGTCATTAGACTTCGGAGTTGCTATTGAAATTTCTGGTCTTTTCAGTGCATTAAGGAGATTCCGGTGGAAAATCTACAGGGACACGGAATTATTCAGTTTGCTTCAAAGCTTCTTCTTCCTATAAAATGACAAGAAAAAAACAAATGGCCATATTTTCCCCAAACTTTTGCAATTATCAAAAATATCCCCAATCTTCTTCTTTTTGGACTTTCTTCGGTTGAAGTTTTCTTCCTAAATTGTTCATCAACCAATTTTGTTATTATTATTATTATTATTATTTTATGTGAAGTTCGTCATATTTATTATTGCAAATATCCAAATGAGCGGATGGGTTAAATATGTCATTGTCTCAGGGAGAATGAAAATAATCTTTGGTTAATTAAGCTCCATAGTATGGCTGACATTGACATATATAATTGGTTTAAAATTTATGTCCACAATGTTCACTACATAATATTATACATAAGTGTATATAATTGATTATTTTTATTTAAAGTGTTATTGTGATATTATATATATTTATTTTATTTTAATTATATAATAAAAGATAATTTTTTTCATCATTTATTCTATTAGGTGATGCTATAAGGATAACTTTTTTACCATATTTTCATACAATTTTCACATATTATTAAATAAGTTGATGCATTTAATTTCACGTATTCCATATAAATTAAAAGAACAAATTATTTTAATGATATATCAGATTAAACAAAAATATGAGACCAAAAAAGTTGTACAAAAATCATTTACCTATCTTATTAAACCTGTAACTTGAATTTAAACTCTCTTACTTTTAATAATAAAATATTATTATTAAATTATTTAAATAATTAATATGATAATATATATTTATTTATTTAATATCATATTATATTATGTAATGCACAATATAATGTGACCTTGTGCTTGTAACATATCATTGTAATACATTAAATCAACACACATTTATTCTTTTATTGACATGTCTTATTATAAGATATTTTCAAAAAATATTGTGTGTATGTAACCTCGCTCCACATTTTTTAATCAAGTTGAATCCAATCTCTATTTTAGAGAATGTTTATCTTATCGAAAGGAACATTCAAATTTCTAATCAAGCCTTTTTTTCTTGTAGTTTTTTCAGTGATTTTCACCGTTTATTCTTTAACATAATTATTGGCAATCAATCATTAAGAAATCATCATATCTTATTCGTTGTTAAACAAACAAAAAATGAAAATCCCCAAAGTTTCTTAGATCAAAAATTTAATAATCAAGATTAATTGGATCAACCTTAATACTATCATGCGGGTTAATTAATTGAAAAATGGACAGTTTTTGTCTTTTTATGATAATTTCCTTTGACTGCCAACAAAAGGCACAAAGAAAAACCCAATGCCTTTTGGATTAATTCTTTTTTTGTTTTTCTGAAATTCATTGAATCTGCTAACAGGAACTCGTGCACCAATAATTTTTTATTTTTGGATTTAAAAAAAAAAAACTTTTATGCATTTCTTTTCTGAAAATGAATATATTTATATATATATCTAAATTAAGCAATAAAAAAATCAAGCTTTTTATAATAATTATTGAATGAGTGGGACATGGACCCACTGCATCAAGACCGTCAGTCCGTTAGTAAATCGAAAAAACAGAGCATTGGATTAAGATGGTACGTCACACTTTATCAGCTGTACCCCATATTCCAACGATTTTTTTGTTGCCTTTTCTTTCCTCACTCTCGTGATAATATAGTTGGTTTTTTTTAAAAATAAATAAATAAATATGTTTATTTTTATTTTATAATTATTTTTAATTTTGATTATTCATTTTATTATGAAAAATTTATTTATTTTTAAAATTGAAATAGATAAAAATAGAAATTATTCAAAAATCTTTAATCTTTTAAAAAATAAAAAATATCTACTATTATTCTGAGATGAAATGAGCCCTATTTAATAACAGAATCAAGAAAAATAAATCATGTTATAAATATGTTAAAATCTACCAAAATAACAAGAAAAAAATTTTTCTAAAAAAATGTTACGTAGTTCTAATTCAAAAAATCATATCAAAGACTGCCTTAGTCATTTGCCTATTGACAATAATATTTATAGAATATATAAACATAAGGAAAAGTATTTTGTCGATAGTACTCACCTTTTTTTTTTAGAAAATATGTCTAAAATTCATCTCTTAATTAATATTTTTAAAAATTAATTATTAAATTAAAAATTTTATTCATATACATTATACATGTTAATTTTAATATTGATCTAGTAGCTCTAATCAATTTGTAGAATTTTTTTTGATAAAAAGATTATAAATATTAGATCAATATAACAATTGGTATGCATGAATTCTATAAATATAATTTTAAATTTAACAATTAACTTTTAAAAATATTAATTAGAATATGAATTTTTAGATATGTTATAAAAAAAAAAAACTGCACTATACTAATTCATATATATAAACCATACTAATAGATAAGGAAAGACATTTAATTAAAAAATAAAATCCTAAGCTAATTAAATTACTTGCATATACCAAGTTTAGAATATATGGGAAAAATGTCTTGAGAGATAAAATCCTACTTAAAATGAAGTTCAAACTTTAGAAGGAAACAAATCTTTTTTATTTTTTATTTTTTATCTTAGTTACGTAATGAGAGATAATAATCTTTCATCCCTTATCACATCTCACCTATATGTCATGCAACTCGAACTCAGGATTTCTTACTTTCTTAATTTTAGCAGAAAGAGTTAATCACTGAGTTATTTAAGTTATTGACAAAAAACAGATCTTTGAATGCTCAATTAGCTTAGAAGCCCATTTTATGACTTTCTCCTCTTTTAACTCCCACGTTATTATTATTGGTCCATCAATTTCCCCTGTCTCTTTGTTTTTTTATTTTTTTTGGTTGAAATTCATGATTGAGAAGTTCTTTTTTTTTTTTTTTGGTTGGTTATTAATCATTGGCATGAAGTTCTATAAAAAAAAATCAACCGAGTTTTAACAAAAATAACTATTTTGATCTATTTTGCATATTTATACTAATTTGGAAAAAAATAAAACTTTTGATACCAATGTGACACTTGTCAATAGTTAATATTCTGTTTAGTATAATTATTCTTTCTTTTTTTTTTAAATCTTCCATGTTTAGTATTTAATATTATAAGTAAATAATTTAGGTTCCTAAATACAGTATTGGTTGATAAGTTAAAATAAATAAAACAAAAAAAAAAACACAAACAACAACCACATTTAACAAAACCTAATAAATCAGATATTGAATTTAACCTATTATTATTGACTTAACATTAACGTTTCCCCCAATTAATTATAATGATGTTTAACATAAGTAAGAATTGATTTTATTCTTTTGTTTATGTGTTTGCCGTTGCTGTGCTAATGTAGGTTGAAAAATTGGTGTAACAGTAAAAGAGCGGGCCATGAAACTTTGGTAGTTGATAAATTTTTTTGGTGGTCCTCTAGATTAGGGACCAAAATAGGACGATGTACGTCCTCTTAAATGTGCCCATGTTTAACAGTTTAAGACACTGGTGGAGCAGTTGGGTTGGGGTTGATAAAGTGGGTGGTTCATCTTAAAAAATCTTCCAAAGAAGGTGCTTAAACAGTGTAATGGCACTTGGAGATGTTTTCTTTCTGCAATCATGTGTCATCATGAATTGGTTCATCATGCATTTCTGATTAAGTTTACTTCTTTTTTTCTTTAAGATAAAGAATTCATGTTTTTCAATTCTTCTTGTCTGGGTGGTAAAATTTTTTTTAAAAAAATTTTAAGCAGGTCATTATTCATTTTTCATGGTTAGTTATAGTGCTTTTGAAATTAGTTTTTGCACTAAATAATCTTAAAGGTGTAGCCCTATATCAACATGATATATTCAAATAAATTAATTTTCTTAAATATTAACTCTAACATTAAAATCAAAGAAATGTGTAAATAAAAGTACAAATCTTGTTGTTTTTATATTTAAGAATGTAAACTTTATCAATTTATAAATGAAATAGTAAATTTTTAATTTTTTCTATTTAAAGATACTAACTTATGTTTTTTCTATATAAGAATAAGTTAAATAGTTAAAAAAAATTATTTATCATGTCAAAATTATCATCTAATTAATTCTTAAATAGAAAAACTACAAAATTAATATCCTTAAATAAAAAAATATAAAGTTGATATACTTAAATAGAAAAATTACAAAATTAGTAATTAAATAAAAAAATACAAAGTTAATATATTTAAATAAAAAAGTTTAAAATTTATCATTTTATTTAAAAACTAACAAAATTCACATCTTTAAATAAAAAAATAACAAAATTCATATTTTTATTTGCACTTTTTATTTGTTAAAACCCTCTTTATCTAACTTAAAAAATAATATTTGTTAATCAATAAATAAAAACTACAATAAATTATCAATATTATTCATGTTAAAACTTATTAAACTCATAATTGCATAATTACTCAAGAATTAAATCTCATTTTGATAAAGTTGATACATAACTACCTTTATTAACAAAGTCAATCCCCATGATATACATTGTATATAGGTGGGGTGGGTTTACATCTCCCACCCCACCTCCAAAAATTATATGTCGTTTGAAAAAAAAAAAAAAAATTACGCGGTCTTGTTCTATGTCGTTTGAAAAAAAAAGAAGAAAATTATGCGGTCTTGTTCTTCTATGCATTTATGTAAATCAAGACTTGACAAACACATGTTCAAATTAGTTAAAAAATAATAATAACAATAACACATGCTTAAATTAAGCAAGATTAAACAAATATCAGATTCAACTTATATGGATAAAAAGGACAATAAATCTTTCACTTTTCAGTAAGGCCCCCAAAAAAATTGATGAAGTAATAATCACTGTCCGCCAAATTAAGGACCTCAAAGTCAAAGTACAGCCCCTACACCTACTCCTACCCTAAAGATTATGAGCATGGAGCACTGAAGTTCAAGTTTAACACCTGCGTTTCAAGTTCGATTCTTTTTCCCTCCCGCCCCTCGTATTGGAGGAGTAGGTGAATATAATAATTGTTATTTGTTTTAAAAAACAAATAAAACAAGGATTTTAAATTACATGTTAAAAATATTTTTTTTTAGTGTTTATTAGTTATACTATGCCTTAAAAGTACAAGATAAAACTTAATTACTAAGCAGTAATTATCAGTTTTTTTAAAAAGATATGAGATTTTAAATTAAAAAATAAATTTTGATTTTAATTTCAAAGTAAATGAATTAAAAAAACAAACCCGTGACATATGTAATTAAAACAAAAGTTAACTTTATTATTTTTAAGATAAAAATACTATAATAATTATATAATTATTATT